CCCCGTGAGGAGCCCCGGGGGGCGGCCTGGGAGGACCCCCCTTCTATTCTCTCACCCTCCCCACACACAGACCCTCTTCCACCCCCCGCACCCCCACTTCAACAGCGCGGCCGCCGCTGCCTCGGGGCCGGGCTGTGTGTGTGTGGGGGGTGTCCAGCCGGGGGTGGGGGCCGGGGGGTCCCCCCCATCCCGGCCCCCCGGCCCCCCGTCAGCGCGGGCAGCCGCGGCCCCGCGGGGGGGCGCCCCGGGGGACCCGCGGGGACAGCGGCACCCACACCCCGTGCCGGGGGGCGGCGGGACCCGCCGGGCTGCCCCCTCAGGGGGTGCTGGCGGGGGGGGTGCCCGGTGTCCCCTCAGCGGGAGCTGCCTCCGTGTCCCCTCACGGGCCGGTGCTTCATGTCCCCTCCCGCTCGACCCGTGTCCTTTCCCTGCTCAACCCGTGTCCTTTTCCCATCCAGGTGGGGTTCCGGAGCCGAGGAAGATGTCACGGCGCAGGTAAGACACCCCCCGGCACCCCCTGCCACCCGTCCTGCTCACCCGCCCTTCCTCACCGTCCTCCTCCTCCCGTGCCCTGCAGCAGCCGCCTGCAAGCGAAGCAGCAGCCGCAGCCCTGCCCGGAGGAGGCTCCCCAAGAGCTGCAGCCCCCCAAGCAGCCCCTGAGCCGCAAGCGCCGCACGGCCGAGGTGAGCATGCCGGGAGGCTCCCAGGACACAGCGATCCCGGCAGGAAGGGGGGACCCCGCGGCGGGAGCGGGGCCGGGCCCTGGGGGGGCCGTGCAGCCACGCTGACCTGCTCTCCTCTCTTAGCAGGAGATAAGGAAAAGAGAGGATGGGAAAACTGCCAAGAAACATCAATACGAGATTAAGGTGAGTGGTGCGTGAGCGCCAGGCTGCGTGAGGGAGCCCCTCCGGTGCGGCTGGTGGGTGCGAAGCCGCCCCTTCCACCCCACAAAGTGTCAGAAGTAGAATCACAGAACGGCTGGGGTTGGAAGGACCCCTAGGATCACCTAGTCCAACCTCCCTGCTCCAGCAGGGATACCCAGAGCACGGGRCACAGGGCGGCATCCGGGCGGGTTTGGAGACCTCCAGAGAAGGAGACCCCAGGCAGAAGGTGCAGGTGCTCTGCACGTTCTCTTCAGGTGCTTCTGCTTTTCCTTATGCCCGTTCCGCTGCAGATAGAGAGAGTCCTTCAGTGTGGAAGCCCCCGCAGAGTAAGGCAAGGTCTAGAAATCAGGATAACAGCAGATATTCTCCCATCTCACCATATGCAAAGTGGGTAAGGCCCAGAGGCAGGTCTAAACAGGACTGCTGCACTTGTTTAACTTGCCTCAGTGGGCTTGAAGCCACACCTTGATATTCGCAACCGCATGGGTACTCTTTCATTTAAGAATTATCAAAATTACTTAAATCAGCTTGGGAACTGTTTATAAATGAGGTAGGTCACTATTACATCAAATCAGGGGGACTCCAGCACTATGAAATGGATTAATGATATAGTTTCTTGCAGTTATACTGCTGATCTGCCCTTAAACCGGATGAGGCCACCAGCTAGCTGGTGGAGGAAGTCTGTGCAGTTAAGCTCTTCCATCTGCTGTTTTCCGTGAAAACTTTGCATGGGGAAAGACTACTCAAGTTTGTAGATTGATCTTGGAATGAAATTGCATGTCACAACTGACCTTTGCTGGCAGGGACAGGTCCTGCTCCCCTTCTCTTCCATTGCTGATGTCCAGCCGTTCACTCCTTCACCTGCCTTGCCCTTGTTCTCCATGTTTCCCTTGCTAATTTGGTGCAACTTGCTAATTTGGCTCTGAAAGAGTCCTGCCCTGCCAGGTTAGTGAGTTGAATCAGCTGGACAGCGGCAAACATCAAGGCTGATGAAAATGAAGGAGTGAGGCAGGACAGAAGCAGGATCTCCACTTTCTGGGGGCTGTAGATGKAGATGATGGTAGATGAACTCCATGGGGATATGCAACTTCATCCTTGGTACTTCACTCTGGCTCAATAGGTTTGGATATGCGAAGGACACCGAGCCTGGCTCATTTCTGTGTGAAATGGCTGCCCAGGATGAGGCTCCGTGTGGGGGGTTCTGCTCCTTTGGGAAGGGGTCCCGGCTAGCTCCCCAGGCGGTGGYTCATCCCACGTCACCATCTTGAGGGCCGTCGGCCATTACAGGTCGCGCCGCTCCCGCCTTCGGCCTCTGTCGCCTTCCCCTTCCTGGCTGCGCACGACCAGGACGAGGAAGGAATTCCCAATCCCTCTGTGTTCCCAGCCTGGGGGTGCGGGCCGCACTCCTTGGGGTCGCTGCATCCCGCGGGTGGCAACGACGGCCCCGGCTGCGGCCCACACCAGTATCTGGCCCCGGAGCCCGGCCCGGCTGGGTGGTTCCTCCCTGGCTCCCTAATGGGAAGATAACGAGTTGCTGAAGTTCCACCAGCAGAACCTCCCCGCTGCGGTCTTCCCTGCAGGGTGAATCAGCAGATCACAGGAGCCGCAGCCTGGCGGGGTCCGGCTCCGCGAGCGCCCTTCTCCGCGCCCCAAAACCGGGTGGATCTGCCCATGCTGGGATCACGGACCTGAGGCCGTTTGTCCCCTCAAAGCGGAGTGCCCTGGACGTGTCAGAAGGGCCTGCTTGCTCTTAAAGGGCTTTGCTGGTGGTCAATCCTTCACTTTACCTGCACTTCTAAGTCCAAAATAAGCATGTGGCATGGAAGRTTGTCAATATAATCTAGATTTCACCCCTTCTTGCTGCCATCGCAAATTCAACAYTTAAAAGATGTCTTTTTATTGTGTTGTAGAGTTGTTGGCCACCCACGATAACAGGAGGCATCTCACCCTGCATAATTATTGAAACACCTCATAAGGAATCGGGGACCACCGACTTCTCCAGGTTCAAAAAATACAGGTTCAGGAACCTCTTCATAAATCCGTCACCTCTGCCTGAGCTCAAGTAAGTCTTCCCGATGCTGCAGGTGTTGATGCTTTTTCAAGCATGTTGAGTTGCCGTAGGARAATCTGTTGTTGTACAGTGTTCATGTAATACTGTAATGAGCCCAACTCTCTGCTTGTCTCCTTATCTTACAATCAATCTGATGCGTGTCTGGAAAAATTTTAAAAAAAGAAACTTTTTTGGTACTCTTTTTTCCTTTAAACTTATTCCAAAGAAGTGGAAAACATGGTGGGCAGGTAGGAGAATCTCCTGTGCTGCTTTAGGAAGCTGCTGTGTACTGTGGGGTCCCAAAGATAAGTTGGATATGGAACTCCATGCTTGAGGATGGGTCTTCCATGCGCCCTCTTACTGATGGGCACCTGTTAAAGCTGAGCTCTAGCCTTTGCAATAGCCAAACTAGGGGGGCGTTTGTGCCTTCTAAGTGCTTTTCTACAGTGATAAGGGATTTCTTCATGCCTGCCTTGGCTTGTGTATCGCACAAACCCGTATTTGTTTCAGCTTCTTATCTGTTTGTTTACAAGAGATGAAGAGTAGAATTGATTTAAGTTAGAGCTTGTGGGACGAGGTGATGGACTTTGTGAATTTCTCTCTGCTTTGACTTGGAGGGAAAAGTATTTAAGTCCAGAAACAGCAGTAGGAAATCAGCGTTGCATTAGCAGCCTGTCCTCCTTAGTCACTACAGTAGGAGAAGTACATTTAAGAAAAAAATTCCCCATCAGTCTATGACAACCGTTCCAAATGAAAACCAAACTGCGGCAGTGGTGCAAGCAGCCCCGTTGCGTTTCCCGGGAGGGTGAAGTGCTAAGGCAGTCACCAAGCACCCATTTCACCAAAGCAGCTGGGGCTGCAGGTGGGTCAGAGCAGGCCAGGGCGTTGGGGGCAGCCCCTTTCACACCAGCCTGGCCCGTGTTTGGCGAGCAGGGGGAGGTGGTGTGAACCACCAAGGTCAGCGTGCGGCTTTCCAGTTACCACAGGGATCTCTCAGGGGGCATTTTCTGAGTATCTGTAAGCAGTAAATGATGTCTTTATGCCCTTTGTGAAGGTGTCTGTGTGCTTACAGTGCTGTGTGCCCCTTCTTTCCACAGCTGGGGGAGTTCCAAAGATGTGTGGCTCAACATCCTCAAGAAGGAGACCAGATACGCTCACTGCAAGCACTTCACGTCGCTGCACTCCAGCCTGCAGCCCCACATGAGGTCCATCCTGCTCGACTGGCTCCTGGAGGTCTGTCCCCAAAGTTCCTGCACCTTGTGTTACCCCTGTGAAGGAGGAGGATAAAAGTAAAGCTTTTGCGTAAGAGATCTAATAGCAAAGTGTCCTGTAATGGTAAATGGCAAGAACAGTTTGCAACAAAAGGGTTACAAGTTACTGCTCTTGCTCCTCTTGGTGACCTGGTGAGTTACATTCAGCCTTTCCTGGCTGGAGATGTTGAACCTTCCAGACAGAGAAGAAAATAGTAACTCCAAACTCTCCTTTAAAACCTCTTTTGGGGGAGGAGGAGAAATCTAATTAAAAGTAATTTCAAGGCAAAGTGCTGAAATTGTTAAAAATGAGATTATTTGTGGAGCTTTAGCCATGTTAGAGTGTATCCCAGTCTTGAGACAAGTGCCTGTCATTTGAGGACCTCAGGTACCACCCTGGCCTTGCCTGTATCGAGAGCCTGTAGATGCCACCCACTGACACTGCTCCTTCCTGACTGCACATTATTTATAATCTTTATTTATATCTTGTGAGGAGAGCAGAAATAAGCAGTGCTTTAGTGTCAGGCATCCAAAGGCTGTTGATGTAAACAGGTCCSTGCTTGAGCAGGGCTGCAGGTAAGCTGCACCCCCCTAGCCCTGAGCCCTGCGCTTCGCTTGAACTTCAGCCCTTTCCAGTTCTCAGTCTGGCAGCCACCCTGTGTGTAGGGACACCCGTGCTGTGAACGGAGAGCTGTGTCCTAGGGCCTTTCCAAGAGCTTTGCCCTGCGGATCTTCAATTGCTGCTTCCAAAAGCAGCCCCTGGCTCACGGAGCTCTGCYGCCTGCAGAGGGGACCTAGGCGAGCGCAGGGCTCCCGTGCCGGCGCCGCCGGGCGCTCCTGCCCGCCCTGGGGCAGGACTGGGAGCGCGGCAGCCGCGGGAAAGCCTTGGCCTGGTTGGGTTTTGGCAGTTGGAGTACTCGAGCGATCCGGGTAGCGGATCTGTCAGTGGATCATCCATTAGTGATACGTCATTATTCCTTTAACATCTGACTTCCTCGCTAACTTTGAGCTGGATGTATATACACGTGCACACACACAGACACACACATATATATTTCTTTAACCTGGCGAGCTGTTGGGGAGCCGCCCATCCTCCAAACAGGCCCGTCAGAATGGGCCTCGTTCTTGCAGGCTGGTTCAGTAGCACTGAGTGCCACAGTGCCACAGAGCCCTGGAAGCCTCGAAAATCCTCCAGTAGCTCCTAATTTTCTCTGTATTGACTCCTTAACTAACRTATTACTAAGTAGGACCAAGCATCATCACTTGTATTTGTGATCTATAAAGGTAGATATGATCTACCTTTATAAGTGCTCACTTATTCATGGGCAGCTCTGGCCCCTGCCGTTTCAGTCCCAAGTCCCGTCTGGAGCCTGGAGCAGCCGCTGCTGCTGTCCAGTGGTTTGCTGTTAAAACACCAGYGTTCCAGTATGGATGCATCGGGTTTTATAATGGATGCAGGGCAGCACTAAATGACTTTTTTCTCCTGTTTTAGGTGTGCGAGGTGTACGCGCTGCACAGGGAGACCTTCTACCTCGCTCAGGACTTCTTCGACAGGTTCATGTTGACGCAGAAGAACATTAACAAGAGCATGCTGCAGCTCATAGGCATCACCTCGCTGTTCATCGCCTCCAAGCTCGAGGTGAGGAGCCCTCGTGCAGGGAGAGGGTGCTGAGTTCGGRTTGACTAAAAAGGCAATGATATTTCTGTATTCTGGGCACATCTTTTGATGCGCACTGGCAGTGTATGCACTGAGGGGGAAACTTTTGTCTTTTCCTTCAGCAAAACAGCTGTTAGTGTCAGTGTCTTGGAGCTGTCCTCCTTTTCCTGCAGAGAAGGAGACCACRTGAGCTTATAAGTCAAGTGAAGGTGCCAGGAGTAGCTCTTTTTCCAAACATGGAGCAAGTGGCCAACGCTCCTGGGAAGGGGGGTGAGACTTGAGTACAAGCAAGCCTGGGTGCCCAAGTGCCTGTGCAAGGAGCAGGGAGGCCTCCAAGCCGGTTTTGTGGAGGGATTTCCCTTTGGCCATCCTCGGGGGTGCATGTGGGGCCTGAGGGCAGAGGCCCCACTGGCAGTGGGGCTGTTCTGCCAAGGGGCCCCCCGAGCGAGCGGCTGGGTCAGCGCCCCCTCCTTGCCGCCTGTCTCCGCACCATGGCCTTGCGGGGACAGTGGGATCTGCTCCATGTTTTCCCCGTTATCTCTGTTGATGTTGATGCCAGCGCCGGCCTCGTGCCTGAGCCCGCGCGGGGCGGCCTGCAGCGCAGCAGCGTGCGCCAGGAGCGGGGCCCTCTGCGCCCGTGCGTCAACAGGGCAGCCAGGAGGAAGGCGAAATGAGTGGAAAGGTGTTCTCATCATTCCGTCAGCATTTATTTCCCCAAACCTAAGTGGGTTGCAATAATTATATAACAGGCAACACACGGACTATGTATTTTCAGTATCTGCTTATCCTGTAAGCTTTTAAGTCATTACATGTAACCATGAATACGCTGTTCTAGCCTAGGAAATGTTACAGACCAGATGTGTCTGCTGGGATCTTCTCAAGCTCTCCTGGAATCCTAAGCTCTGATCTTGACAGTTTGGGGTTTTTTTTTCTGCTTCTCTCTTGAAAGGAAATCTACGCTCCCAAAATTCAAGAATTTGCCTATGTCACTGATGGTGCTTGCAGTGAAGATGATATAATAAGAATGGAACTTATCATGTTAAAGGTACTAACTGCGCTGTGCTTGCAGGAACTGGCCAAAAGGGGTGGGCTTCTGTTCAATACCTGTTTAACAGTATCTGAGGGACATCTCTAGCAGGTGAGGAATTGGTGCGTGCAGCTCTGYGCCCTTTGTATTGGGAAGGATCCTTTCTCAGTGCTGCAGAATTTCCCAGGCACTTGCTTGTCACTAGCAGTAGATGTAGCTGCAGCTTGAGGCATTTTGAGGCACTCTCCCAATTTCTGAGTGGGACAGAAGAGTTGAATTGAACTGCACTGGATATACTAAAAGGGTTGAGATGAATGTGTTTTGTGCTGATTGCAACCCAGGCTCTTCAGGAAGTCATAAGAACTTAAGTACTTAAACATCTAAGTACTTATACTAATAAACATTTAATATTTACAGGCTTTAAAGTGGGAACTCTGTCCAGTGACGATCATCTCTTGGCTGAACCTTTACCTTCAAGTGGATGCTCTGAAGGATGTTCCCAAAGTGCTGCTACCTCAGTATTCTCAGGAAAAATTCATCCAGATAGCGCAGGTAGGTGCCCTAAGCTGTGTAGGAACATGTCACTTTGGGATAATCACAAGCACTGCTGCACAGCCTGCTTGGAAAGACTTTAAATGCTTTATTTTCTTGTCTTACCTCATCTACTGCTCTGTAAAGAAATGTGCAAATTTTACCCTCTTGGAGAACTTTGTAGTGGAGCCTCGAGGAGCAGCTGCTCGTGTGGGTCTTGTTTCCTTGCTCTCCTCTATTTTAAGACTCCTCACCGGAAGAAATCCGGTTGCTACRCGCTGTAGTTCTGCAAACAACAGGCGGCAGCAACAGCCCTTGAGCAGGATGATAACACAGAGAGTCTCCATGGGCTGCTAGTGCTGTCTGGCTGTATCACCAGTTACAGTGTTCCTGGGCACTTGTCCAAAACAGTCCGAGAAGGGTTGTCCAGCCTTTGCAGGCGACTCCGGCATCGGAGAGACTCAGCACAGGGACAACAGCTCTCATAAGGACTTAGGAGCTCAGAGGGTCAGACCTTGCCGGAGCTCTGCCAAGGCCTTCCAGGTGTCCTTAGAGCTGTAGGGACTGTGTGTTATGGGTAGAAGAGCAGATGTTCTTGCACCCTAATGCTGAGAGAGCAGCTTTAAGTGGAATGGGTGCCAAAGCTAAACCGGAGGCACCTGACTGGCTGTAAAGAGTGCAGCCACCTCCGTGCTATAGACGCGAGTGTAAGAACCAGTGCCCGCGTGGCAGTTTGGCAGGCAGSACTACAGCATCCTCTTGTTAACGTCTGTCCCTCTTGCTCCGCCAGCTCCTGGACCTGTGCATTCTGGATGTGAATTCCCTGGATTTCCAGTACAGGACACTAGCTGCCGCCGCGCTCTGCCACTATACCTCAATCGAAGTAGTCCAGAAGGCCTCAGGTGAGCCGGGGAGCGCTGACGGCTGCTGCAGCCTGAAGCCCTCGGAGCACTTGGGTTTACCAGGCAGTAAAGGAACAAACGTGAGATGGGCACGCAGCTCCTTCTGGCTTGTGGGTGTTCCTGGTTTCACTTCCTTCCTACCGCTGTTTCACACGTTGCGAAGGCTTGGAACAGAAGGAAACACGTTGGGTAGCCCGGCCTTGTCCAGGGGAGCTGGGCCTGCTCTTGCCCCATGAGTGCCAGCTGGGTTGGGGATCGGCAGCGTTTGTTTTTGGGGCTCCTTTGCTCTCCTTTATTTTATTTATGACACTATTGGAACTCTGGCTAACAGACTGTGCAGCTCCTTCGGGATCTATAACCCTGCTTCTGTGATCYGCCCCTTAGGCCTGGACTGGGACAACATCTCTGAGTGTGTGGAATGGATGGTGCCTTTCGCAAATGTGACCAGAAAAGTCCCCGTGAAACTGAAGAATTTTAAGAAGGTGGCAGCAGAAGATCGACACAACATTCAAACCCACACGAGTTACTTGGACATGCTGGTACGTGGTTTGTACATTTGCGCCCCGGGCTCTTGCTGGTGCTTTGGGCACCTCTAGTTTGTCACCACCACCAAGCAGGAGGCTGGAGGGCCCAGCCCTGAGGGCATGCGGAGAAAGGATGCGCTTCCCTGTGATGCTCCCAAGCCCTGGGGAAAGACGTGGGGAAGAGTTACAGGGGACGTTTAAAAGCTGGTGCTGTTGTCGGCTAACAGCCCTTCTAGTTGTGTGGTCAGCTTCTTGACTGAGAAGCTTCTTGACAGAGAAGCTTCTGATGGGCTCATAGAAATGAAGTGGCAGCTGCTGCCGTGTGGCTTGACATGTCCCATTCCTGCTCTTCCCAGGAAGAAGTCAACAGCGGAGCAGCTTCTGCCGCCCCGGGGCAGCTCTCTCCAGTGTCTACAGCGGGAATAATAACGCCTCCCAAAAGCACAGAGAAGAAATGAACCCTGAGCAAGGACTGGGCAGGATTTGGTGCTTCAAAACAGGACTGGGCTCAAGGTGACTCCAAGACTCCGTGCTGCTGCGAGCCCAGGGCAGCAGGCACCCCGTACTGAGCAATGGCTGGAAGTTAAGACCTCCTCCTGCACGTGTGACAAAAGATTTTATTTTTTTTAGGCCAAGTGTCTTTTTCTATGTTAATGCAAGAGGGTGGACTAGCCTGGTCCATTCTCAAACAGGACTAGTTAACTCTGAACATTCCTAATTTAAATTATGAATTATGGATTTCAAGAACTTGTTTTGYAATGGCCGAGTGGCTGAGCTCGTCCACTCAACCCACCTGGCAAACTTGCTTTAATTTGGGATAGCCATACAGGAGAACTTGATGACAGTTTGTACATATTACTTATTTCTTGACTCTTTTTTTTCTTTTCTTGGTATAGACATTAAGCTCTGCCTATAACTTAATTGCCCTGTGAGCCTCAGGGGGAGGATTACAGAGGTCAGTGGTTAAGCAGCTTCCTCTAAAACCACTCTGCCACTGCATTAAGGTAGAGCCAGCCCCGGGTCACCTTCTAGCTCTATCTGAGGCTGATGAATTTAAGATAACGTGTGAGTTTACAGCAGCCCTAAAGCTAAGAATTCATTTAAGGATATCACTGACCTCAGGTATTAAGAGTACAAGTAGGGAATGTGCTGCTGAAGCAACCTTAACTGGAAGAAGTGCAGTCCTGGAAGGAAGATGTCCCATGGGTAAGAGGCAGCCCTCAACCTTCAAAAGACAGGAACAGCCAGAACTGGAAAGGGTGTGGGGAAAAATCCGAAGTGCTGGGACWCTTTACAACCACTCAATTTGTATGAGCAGTATTTTTAAAAGCAACTGTGGACCTGTATTTTATCAGTGTTTATAAGCAGCATTAACTACTGTTTTCCTTGGAATATTCACTACCTCTACCACTGAGGTGCTTAACTTCTGCTGAAGGGGACATGCATTCCTCCTCCCTTGTTCCGGATGCCCCTTCTAGCAGTAGCAGTTTTGATGACCTGGAGCAGTTCATGAAACTGCACTTGAGCTTCACATGACACCAGGGTCTTCTATTTTTTGTTTTTTTACATGTTGTTTTGAACTTGAGCTCTTTCACTCTAACTTAGCAAACTTGAATTTGTTGCTTCTATGAACAATGCATTGTGAACTAGCTGAAGTTGTTTCAGGCCTTCTGTACAGTTTGTAAAAATAAGGGGGTTTATTATAATATTTCATCTATTTCTAAGAGATACACTGTAAATGTTGTACAAAAACTTAAATGAATTTAAAAAATAAAAAGCATTGAAACATCTTTTTTCTACTTTTACCCATTTTATAAGTATTTTCCACCATTAACTTAAAAGTAAAGTTTTGCCATAGCTTGAAGAAACTTCTTTTTTCTCCTCTGGGCAGCAAGTTGCAGCACTTCCTCAGGGTTACTGGCGTTCAGCTCGGTCTGGCCAATAGCTTTAATCTGGAAGTGGGGGGAAAAAAGAGGTATGAGCATTAGCAGAAGACAATTAGTTAAGCTAACCCCCCTTACAAGGCCTGTCCACCACTAGTTCAAGCAGAAGTCATTTTTTCTCTGTGATATATTACTGTCCTACCCCTAAGCCCTCTCGCTGCTAGTTTTACTAGAAGGGGGATGCTGATGTAAAGTTATGCAGGAATATAACATGGGAAGTACTCTCTTTTGGAAGAGAGAGGCTTCAGGGAGGGAAAGAAACACTGCAGCACTCCCTGCTGCCTTCTGTTCTACTTACTGCTATTTGTCTCTTGTCCGTCTCGCCTCGTTTATGATGGAGATCTGAGGGAAAGTCAAGAAAATAGGTGCTGTTCTCTTCCTATGCACATCGAAGAGATCCTGCCCCATTTAGGAATAGTGTGYAGAAAGCCTTCCTCAAGCAAAGGAGGTGCCAGGGTAGGAAGTCTGACTTGAGCATGAAATGGAATTGATTTTCCCTACGCCGGCCTCCCCTACAACTGTTTCTTCAGTAATTGAAAGGATACATGTCAAATACTCCAAAATTGTGACATCCCAGATGTATTCGTAGTAAGAATCCATAGCATCATGACTGAAAGAGAAGACTGGTTAGACTATTAACATGTTTACATAAGCATTAAGTATATAATCTATACATAAGATGCAGATAATGTGCATGATAAATGTCCAGCTGTATAGAATATTTGTTGCAGTATTTACCTGTTCTGTTCCTGCAGTGCCTTAAATGCAGTTTTATAGTCCACTTCCCTGAGGAACTGGCATAAGATGGCCACCTGTAAGGAAAGACTCCAGCTGACTCCACAGCCTAGCTGCCCCCAAAGCTGAGTTTGCCAGAGAGCAGCAGGAGCTCCAGTCGCTAAACTGAGCAACTTTTAACACTCAAGCTTTGAGCACATACATAATTTGTTGTATAGTAACTGCAATAGCCCAAAAAAAGGGGCAAATTTTACTCCAATGTGAAGAGACTGCCCGTGCTTCCAAATTTCTCAGTATTTTTTTAGGCTCCGGCTGAATTTACGTGTTGCTCCTCTTAGGGAATAAAGAAGTTAGGAGGKGATTATCAAGCTGAATACAGCCAGATTCCCCAAAACACCCCATGGATGCTCCGGTCCCTCTCCTCTCTTAGGCTGTAGTTCTGTTGTTTGTAGAGAACAGAGCATAAAAACAAACTACTGCTATTTTTTTTAACAGTTGCAAACTTTTTTTTTTCTTTTAACCTTGTTAAATTAGTAAAACAGCAGCAACAATAACAAAAGAACACCTTCAGAGATTTTTTTTTTTTTTAGTTGCAGATTGGGTTTAAAAGATGTGATAGATTCTTAAGTCAAAAATATTTGAAGATAAATGTTCAATTTAACGCTGTGTTTCAGCTCTTACCTGAGTGTGACAGTTGAGTAAGGAGCAACACTTGATCATTCTCTTTATCACCTACAGAGCCGTAAAAGAAAAAAAAAAAAGCTTTTAAGATTGTTGTTAAGCTTTTAAGCTGTTACTGGAACATAAAAGAACAGCATTTTTTTTTAATTCCTTTTTTAAAGGGACTAAATAATTGCATCTATGTTCTCATAACTACTGAAAAAAACCAAACAAACAGTCTTTTAAAAAAAGAAAAAAAACTAGGGGGGGTGTTTTGCAGGGCTGAGAGGTGCTCTCAGGTTGGTGAGGAGCACTGTGGTCGCTGCCTCAGGTCAGGCCCCACCTTAGGCCAGGCTCTCCCGGGGCTGTCCCTGCCGCCTCAGGCCAGACKCTCCTCAGGGCACTCGGGACAGGCCTGGAGCGCTCCCTTTCCAGGGGGACACCAGCAGGTGAGAGGTAACAACGTGCCAGGGGCTGAAAATAACCTCCTTCCCTGGGTGTCAGCCCTTTCCTACAGCCTCCTGCGCCGCTGCCCACAGGGGACACCGGGGGCTCCTGCTGAGCAAGACAGGGCAGGACTGCTCCCTGCACCACTGCAGTTCCCTCCCCTCTGCAGCAGAAATGCTTCCAGAAGGCTCAAAAATGAAGCTGAAAGGAAGAACCTTTCAGAGGACACAGCTCTGTGGGTGCTCAGGCCCCTCCATTTATGTTTAAATTGCATTAGGCAGATGTCTCACCTGGTCTGTGTACACATCTGGCGGTACCATTTTATTAAAGAAATCTGAGCACACAGCTCCTGCCTGGAGGTAGTAGTACAGGGCTGCTGAATACTGGTTTGTCGCTGCAGTGGAGAAAAASAGAGCAGAGACTTGAGAATAAACACAGCAGTTAGTTCCAGGATTCAGGTTAATCGCTCGTAAAATTATTCAGATCACATCTGAATCATCTCTCTGTTGAAATTCTATTTGCAAAATGACTTGCATATTTTAAAAAGTCCTTTTTAAATGACTCCTACCACAGGAGATGGTAAGAGAGTCATACACAGCTAGACAATTGGGAAAATGAGCAACAGAGGTGAAGCTGTGACTTTTAAGAACTAGGTTAAAAGAAATCTTAGATGTTTTCCTGCCAAGATTTCATGAAGAAGTTGGAACACAAGTAGTGCTGTGAAAACTCTAAGGCCCAATGAACCTGCTAAAGCTGGAGCTCTGCTCGATGCCTTTGCACAGCTCCTGTTCGTCCTGGGGCTCTGAGGTGATGCGCTCAGAGAGCTCCACTTCAGAAAGGAGACACTCTAACTGCTCCGTCCTCTCCTTTTCAGCACCTCACACCGTGCCTTCCCTGCCTGCTAATAAGCAGAAGCAGAGAAACTGTCACTCAGGTTTGGTTTTGATTTGTGTTTTCAAGTAGGTTTAGTTAATTGTGGCTGAAGAACATCTATCACTACCAGCTAGCACCTCCCTTGKTATATTCTGGAATGAAAACAAGTCACAGATCAATGCTTGGGAATAAGAATACTGTTGTGCAACAACGGTGATCACTTTTTTAACTTCAGGCAGCTGTCAGGGGCTCTGCACAGTTTGAGCAGTCTGACTTAAAATACAGATCCACCATATGCTACAAGTGCTTAACTGGTGGCATGTTCTCTCCCGCATCCAAGTGGAGGRTCCTGGTCACCAGACTGTGCAGGCTCCTTCCCTGCTCCAAGAACCACGTTCTAAATGAATCTCTCCCTTTGAAGCCAGAATTTCCGCACTGCATCTCCCTGCWCAACACGGACAACCTCCCAGTCCCAGAGACACATTTGGAAATGTGCATCTCCTCCTCTGAGAGACTAGAGCGCCCACAGGATGGCTGAGAGACAGCACATACCCAGTTTATTCCTGGAAGGAACAATTTGGCTTGGATGCTACATTCCTCTAGCACGCTCTCAGCAGAGATGTTAAGCACAAGAAATTCCCATCTGCTTTTGAGTGCTGCAATGTCCGTATCCCTCTCTTTAGCACTGCAATGACTGTATCCCTCTCTTTAGTGGGAGGTAAACTCCGCAGGGAGTTCCACGCTCGCCTGGCTGGTGCCCAGCACCCCCACTCAGTATCTGTGGGGAGAGGCAGGTGCTGGAGAGCGCCCAGGGCAGTGCCCCGAGGCTGGGGCTAAGTGCAAGGGAGCCGGGCAAGAGCAGGGGCTGTGCAGGGCCTCCCTGGGCACCCCGAGCTCTGGGGCTGCGGCGCTCGCGCTGCCTTAGGCCGGGTGCTCCCAGCTGATGGGCCAGGACAAGCCCTGGGCAAGCGGCAGGTCGGGGCTCCGGGGCCTGGGAAAGCTCCTTGCCCCAGTCAGTACCAAACCAGCTCCTCACGCTCCCCCATTCACACTCCCAGGTACTTCCCTATATAAAATATAGCAGGTCCTCTGGATTCTGCTCCTACCTGCCCAGTGAAGCTGACCACCCCTTTTAAAAGCAAGCACAACCCCCACAGCTTTTCACTCACTTAGAAACTCCAATGCACATGTGTATTATGCACAATTCTTCCAGTCAGGGACCAACTGCTCCCATTAAAAAAAGTGAAGCTGATACGGACCCTCCTTGAAAGTTTCCCTTGCCCTAAAAGCAAGTCTGCAGGACCTSTCAGAAGCCCAGTCTCTGGGCATAAAACTCCTCCAGGGAAAATTCACTTACACTTCTACTACCTCCAAAGAAACCTTCTAAACTCCTATACCACTTGGGCTCCTTTGCATGATGGCACTTACAGGACACACGAGGGGT